TAACATTGATGCTGGGTTTTTACTATCAAAGTGCCACAGAGTTGGTAAATTGGCGAGATCACGACAAAATTCTACGTGCAACATGGAAATGATAACGTAGGACCGTCAGTCATGTCGGAAAATAAGGTAATGTCTGAAACAAAAACCAATTCTGATAAAGACGAAGCAATGCAACGATTTACTGACAGACGAACACCAACAAATGAGGTGCTTTATATTAGGGAAAGATACTGTTGATGTTTAAGACAGCAGCAGCATTACAAAATACAAAGCTGTGATTGTTTATCTGTATATGAGAGGGAAGAAAATGGGACAGCGGGAGGATAATTTATCTTGTGCTGGCAGCGGTATTAGCTGTGGACGACTCCAACCAGCCATCTGACCTGCCAGGAACAGCACAATGCAAAAAGTATTATGCTAGTTGTATTTCTTATACTTCATCATCTTTTCTTGTTGACAGTAGTTTTGTTTTTCTTTTTTTTATGTGTGTGTGTTGGCCGATTAAACAATTCCCAAGTCTCAGTTTTGTCAGGGCTCTCTGATGTATTGCACATGGACGAAAGCACTTTTGTTATGTTAAAATTAGCTTTATTACAGCTCGTTTATGACAGTGTAAATGTGTGAATCCCATTCAAAATAGCAATCTGTTTAATTCTGCACTTTATCGGCACTAAATGCTGCCTTCACATACCGTAATAATGACTGAGTGAACCGTGCTAGTATTGTAAGTGGAAGTAGCTGATTTTGTCTGACTAGCTACGACGTGAGGTTGTGTAACGTTTGCATAACTTTTAGATCCATTTGTAGGTAAAACCACACTGTGATCAGACAACTAGTAAAACATCTGAGGTCTGTACTATGAAGCAGGATTTGGGGTTAGCCAGGTACCTTCAAGTTTAAACTTAGATTTTCAGTGTTGCGACAGTAGTTCACTTCTTACCAGGATACATCACCAACTGCACACCTAACCTGCTCATGTTTGATAAAACAGGTCAACACGTTTAAATATATCACAAATGAAATTGCACTGTTCCTTGTGAATCCTGTGGCGTTCTAATAGAGTTTTTAGAGACAATCTTGATTATAGGTGGAGGGAACTTCAGTCTTCCTTCTTTTATTGGTCGCTTTTTCCTTTGGAGTGCTGGAGATTTCAAAGCCGTTTCTCCCTTATATAAGCCTTAAATAGGGATGTTCAAAATCCTAACATAGAGAGTGATAGAGACTAAGATCTTGCACTTGTTAAAATTCTAAGATTTGCAGGTTACAGATTTACCTTTTCTAATTGTGTGCGACTAACGCCAATAGAATTGTAGCTAAAAAAAAAAATAAAAATAAGGCTGTAGTTTTCTCACATGGCATAAGAATACACCTAAATAATACATTCATTTAATGGAAATAAAATCATTGTGTTTGTGGTCAGATCTACTCATGCCTCAATCATGGGACAGTGATGTTATTAATTCACATATTCTTACACATTTGTGGTGAGAAATGTGCAGTACTGGACCTGTACATGTTTGTGATTGGTTATCAAGCATGCCAATTATTGCGGTGTGGCGCAATTATTGCTGCGATGACTAAATTTACATTGCATGGATACTTCTGTTCTTGCCGACACAGAAGGTGTAACACCAGTCCTATACTACATTTCTAGTCTGTAGTGGCCCTCCTGGAAGACTGTGTTCCACATATAAACCATAGGTCGTATGTACGTATTCAAAATATGCAAACTACTGCCCAACATGTGCACTATTACCCTTTTAGTGCAGTCGTCGTGTGCACAAAGTCTGAGCTGCATGCAGACATGTGTGGAGGGGTTTGCATGGACTCTTTTACATCACATGGACCCTTGTAGTCGCAGAATGTACAACACCAGCCTTAACAATTTAATAGCCAGCTTCATGTGCTTAGCTTTGACTGTGGTTTAGTGAAGCCAGAGAAGGAAAACATATTATGAACTTGAGTCATTGTACAAGCCTCTGGTGAGATATGGTGTAAGATTTAAGCCAAGCAAGCCTTATGAACGTCTTAGAAAGAAATGGAAAGTAATGGTTGGAGGGAAAAATACATTCAGAAAACTTCCATATGCATGTTTTGTTTTTATACAAAAATGATGTTTTTAGAGTTTGTGTCATGCAGAGCAATCCCATGAAACAATAGGGAGAATATTATACAGACTCAGAATGTGTCCACGTGTCACTCTAAAAGAGCCACAACAAAAGAAATGCTTCCAAATAAACACCATGTCTCTGCTGCCTGCTACTGTTGGCCGAGATATTCAGATTTCTTATGACTCAAGTGTTAGAATAGAAGAATGGTGCAATCATAAGTTTTCCAGAATAAACTTCCTCCAGCTTGAAAATGAGCCTGAGTCACTGCTGGAGTAAATGGAGGAACCATGAAGCCTGCAGGAGGGTGACTGGCCTCTTTAACACACACATATACACAAAAGCATGTACTTGTGTATACCTCAGACGTTCCAGTGCCTTATATTTATTTCTTAACTGCTAATGTAACCTTAACTGAAAATAGCAAATGCCACAATATTCTGGCGAAAACAACATGGAGGATTTTCGGCATGTTTTATATCACACAACACATATATGCATCGTACCCAGTGGAGTGTGCAGAGTGGAGGATGAGAACACAAAGTCATTATCAAGCAGCCATTCAGACGTCAGCCAAGGAGCTCCAACTCTACATTTGCTGCACCTTGTTGCTGCACACGTGCATTCATGCTCCTGTTACTTAAACTATATTTTAACTGAGCAAAATAGTTTTAGAAAAAAAAATCCCATAACGGTGAAACCTGCAGATGCTTAAAGTCCTTCATCAGGAAGCAGCTCTCTTTCCTCATTAACAGAGCGACCAGTTGAATTTCACAGTTCAGCGCTCTGGCAGTGGTTTTCTCTAAGGAGGCAGTTTCAGCTCACAAGCATCCAGCACTCTGACTGGACAGAGTCATTTGTGTGCGCAGATGCTTTTAGACTGTGTTTATTAAAAAAAAAACAAAAAAAAACACACACACAAAGAAACTCAGAGTCACTGTGATTTGTCAGTAAAGAGGCGGCCTATTGTTGAAACACACCGAGGAAGTCGAACGTTTTATGTCGTGGCTTATCGAGACGTGACACTTAAAATCATGCTGTAACTCTGTTTTATTGACTCCACCTATTCAGTTGTTTGTGTTTATGCCCAGTGATATATATACAGCGTTTAAGAGCAATAATGGTGGGCAATGCAGACTTAATGAGGATCGACTGTTGAAACAGATAACTTGCTGAAATAACCTAAGCAGCTGATTTGTTTCTCTTTAACCCTCTGAACCCCAAAACCCTCTGGGCATTTTTATTTTTTTTTCACAAGGTGTGTTTTTCTTGAAAATTGCCACCATTGTTCCATTTATCAGAGTTAGAAACAGCAAGAATTCTGAATATTTAACTTTTGGATGGTCTCTGAAATTGACGCGACTCTTTAAATTATCCAAATCTAAGCTTAATATCATGACATTTCATCAAACTAATTTTATTCTACATTTCTCATTCAGAAGATAAACTAAATTCACTCTTTGCCAAGAAACCACGAGTGATTCAGCTTTGACCCTTAGTCATGTAGCAAAAGTCCAGGTGAACTGCAGGCAGTGTATGTGCAAGGCAGAGAGGGGACGGAAAGACAGAAAAATAAACACGGTTAAGCAATAATATAAATGCAGCA